TAGGGTTAGGGTTACAATTAGGGTTAGAATTATGGTTATGGTAAGGGGATAGTGGTTAGGTTTAGGGTTGCGGTTACGGTTAATGTTAAGGTTAGGGTTATGGTAATGGTTAGGATTAGGATTAGGATTAGGATTAGGTTTAGGTTTAGGGTTAGTGTTAGGGTTAGGGGATAGGGAAAATAAGATTTTGAATGGAAATTAATTTTAGGTCCCCACGAGGATAGAAGAACATAACGTGTATGTGTGTGTGTGTGTGTGCGTGTGTAATGGGAGGCGTGTTGTAACTGTAATACACAATTTATTATGGAAACCCCTAAGAGGTGATTATTAGAGAGGGTGTGTATGGCTGAGGAAAAGAGAGGAAGGGATAGAGATAGTGTGTGTATGTTTCTGAGCGAGCGAGAGATTAGGATCCTGACCACAATTGTATCCTATTTATTCCTCTGTTCCCCTCTCTCTCTCTCTCTCTCTCTCTCTCTCTCTCTCTCTCTCTCACTCTCTCCCTCTGTTACTCTGTTCCTCTAGGTCAGTAAAAGCGAGGGAAGTGATGTGGAGAGTCAGAGCTCAGCAGCAGAAGGCAGGGGGGAAGAGGAGTTAGAGATGATTGGAGGGATAGAGATGTGAAGCGAGGAGGGAGAGGAGAGTGGAGGGAGAGGAACATGGAGAGGAATATGGAGAGGGAGAGGAGGAGGAAGAGGGAAAGGAAGAGGGAGAGCACACTAGAGAGGGGAGCCTACATTTCCATGGAGTGCGTCTACCCTATGTCTCACCATTCACCCTTGTACCACACAGCTTACTTTGTGAAATTTGTATGTCTCATTTGTTGAATTTGGATCAGAAAAATGCATGTACCTACATAGCTGCTCAAAGCATATTGCTACCTATGTGTGGTACCCTGAGGGCGGCGACAGTAGACCAGTGTGGGGGACCCTGCAAAGGCCTCTTCCCAGAAACCGCAGGCGCTGGTCCCTGAAGGCATTCAAAATGCAGCTCGTGCATTCACTTTGTGATGGCTACAGTGGACGAAAGCGGTGAGCCAAGAGTGTGGCACCAAGAGATGTTACTCATAATTTGAAAGCAGGCCACTCCCTGGTGACGTTTGAAGGGCGCAAGAGAGGGTGTGTGGTGTGCATCCGGAGTGGACACAGGGAAAAGAGTGGGAGATGTGTAGAAACATCCTTTGGGTGCTCTGTGTGTTCTGTTCCACTTTGCAGGATGGGTCAGGGCTTCCAGAGGTTCCATGACATGTTTTAGGCTAAATGCAAACACTAAAGTGACAGTGTGAAATATGAATTTGTCGTATAAGTATTATGGGTAAATTGTGTACTTTTTAAAATTGTATTTTTTGCATCTTCTCTCTGTATCTGTCTGCATTCACTGAATTCAAAGTAGGCTACTGTTTCTACATTTTGTGTCAGGCCTAAATCTTATTGACAGATGTTATCTACATTTTTTAATATTCTCTGAATAGTTGTTTGCATTTTTACATTGTTACAGAAGTAAGAATATTTTTCAATCCAATAGCCTACTTTGTGTGGGTGCATTTTAATTTGTTCTATCTAATACTTGTTGCATTTGCCGAATTGTTGTCAAAGTACTATTTTGACATTTTGTGCCACTTTGTAGGATGGGGCCGTACTTCAAGAAGTGTCATGGCACGTTGTAGGCTAAATGCAAACACTCAAGTGACAGTGTGACATGAATTTGTCCTACAGATCTTATAGAGAAATTGTCTCTGAACAGTAGTTGTGTTTTGTGTCTTCTCCCTTTATCTGTCTATATAAAACTTGTTGCATTTACTGAATTGTTGTCAAAGTCGGCTACTATATCTACATTTTGTTTCAGGCCAGGTCTGTACTAAATATTATTGAGGTTATGTACATTTTGAAAGTCTCTGAATAGTTGTTTGCATTTTTACATTGTTACATAAGTAAGAATCGTTGTCAATGAAATAGCCTACTTTGTGTGGAAATACTTTCTGAATATTGTCCTCTGGTCACATTTTGGATTATTTTAAAAATATTTATAAGTATAATATTTTGTAGTTGGTACATTTTGAGTTAGTAATTTAGTCAAATGTACTACAACTTAAATACTCTAGTTCTTTGTTGTTGTGTTGTGTTCATAGTTTTTTGATAGTGAGTGTCTTTACAAAATGGAGGACAAAATTAGTGTTATTCCTATTGTCATGAATGTGGTGTCATATTAAAGAAGAGGTTGTGCTATTTAAAACTAAGTTAACTTGTAATTGTCATTTGTTCTTTGTTTTTGAGCTATGTCTGTGTGTTTGAAATGTGTGAGAAAATGTGCTTTATCTTGAAAATTCTCAGTAATCTACAGCAGCATTCTGGAATTCTATTGGGGGATAAAGGGTTAAACCAATGATACTAGTAATATACAGTGGGGAGAACAAGTATTTGATACACTGCCGATTTTGCAGGTTTTCCTACTTACAAAGCATGTAGAGGTCTGTAATTTTTTCTGTGAGAGACGGAATCTAAAACAAAAATCCAGAAAATCACATTTGTATGATTTTTAAGTAAATAATTTGCATTTTATTGCATGACATAAGTATTTGATACATCAGAAAAGCAGAACTTAATATTTGGTACAGAAACCTTTGTTTGCAATTACAGAGATCATATGTTTCCTGTAGGTCTTGACCAGGTTTGCACACACTGCAGCAGGGATTTTGGCCCACTCCTCCATACAGACCTTCTCCAGATCCTTCAGGTTTCGGGGCTGTCGCTGGGCAATACGGACTTTCAGCTCCCGCCAAAGATTTTCTATTGGGTTCAGGTCTGGAGACTGGCTAGGCCACTCCAGGACCTTGAGATGCTTCTTACGGAGCCACGCCTTAGTTGCCCTGGCTGTGTGTTTCGGGTCGTTGTCATGCTGGAAGACCCAGCCACGACCCATCTTCAATTCCTGAGGGAAGGAGGTTGTTGGCCAAGATCTCGCGATATATGGTCCCATCCATCCTCCCCTCAATACGGTGCAGTCGTCCTGTCCCCTTTGCAGAAAAGCATCCCAAAGAATGATGTTTCCACCTCCATGCTTCACGATTGGGATGGTGTTCTTGGGGTTGTACTCATCCTTCTTCTTCCTCCAAACACGGCGAGTGGAGTTTAGACCAAAAAGCTCTATTTTTGTCTCATCAGACCACATGACCTTCTCCCATTCCTCCTCTGGATCATCCAGATGGTCATTGGCAAACTTCAGACGGGCCTGGACATGCGCTGGCTTGAGCAGGGAGACCTTGCGTGCGCTGCAGGATTTTAATCCATGACGGCGTAGTGTGTTACTAATGGTTTTCTTTGAGACTGTGGTCCCAGCTCTCTTCAGGTCATTGACCAGGTCCTGCTGTGTAGTTCTGGGCTGATCCCTCACCTTCCTCATGATCATTGATGCCCCACAAGGTGAGATCTTGCATGGAGCCCCAGACCGAGGGTGATTGACCGTCATCTTGAACTTCTTCCATTTTCTAATAATTGCGCCAACAGTTGTTGCCTTCTCACCAAGCTGCTTGCCTATTGTCCTGTAGCCCATCCCAGCCTTGTGCAGGTCTACAATTTTATCCCTGATGTCCTTACACAGCTCTCTGGTCTTGGCCATTGTGGAGAGGTTGGAGTCTGTTTGATTGAGTGTGTGGACAGGTGTCTTTTATACAGGTAACGAGTTCAAACAGGTGCAGTTAATACAGGTAATGAGTGGAGAACAGGAGGGCTTCTTAAAGAAAAACTAACAGGTCTGTGAGAGCCGGAATTCTTACTGGTTGGTAGGTGATCAAATACTTATGTCATGCAATAAAATGCAAATTAATTACTTAAAAATCATACAATGTGATTTTCTGGATTTTTGTTTTAGATTCCGTCTCTCACAGTTGAAGTGTACCTATGATAAAAATTACAGACCTCTACATGCTTTGTAAAGAGGAAAACCTGCAAAATCGGCAGTGTATCAAATACTTGTTCTCCCCACTCTCTCTATATATATAGGCCCTATGTAATAATTTCTCAGCTTGAGCCCCCCCCCCCTATGCTCTGCTCAAGGTTAAGTCACATGTATTTACTATAAAACCCATTAAAACGCATAGGAGGGGAAGGGAGGGGGTGGGGGCACTCTGCCTGGGGCCTCCAAATCACCAAGTACGCCCCTGTTTGTAGTACCAGTAGGAAATAGTAAGTGCATCGTTGTATAAGGAACGTGCAGTGCGCAGGAGCCGTGAAGGGGAAAATCGAGAGAAAGAATGAAACAGCTGCTGTCGGATTCTTAATACCTGCGTCCATAACAACATCACAAGACTAATTCCACCAGAAGAGGAAAAGGGGATGCAGCAAATACAGCTTTCAAGCATCATCGGTGAGGGGAACCACATAAGTATGACTGGACAGTAAATTGTTCCCCGAATCCATCATTTTCTATCATATTCCACTGTCATAGAACTGAATGCAGTTCGTATGTGCGCCCGCAGTAGCACAAAGCGGAGGTTCGGGAACCAAATTGTGTCCAACACCAACGCTGAAATCGGATGTACAGTACGTATTGAGCTGTTTCATACTGACCACGGTTTATAATCACAGTTACCAACGATTAATTAATTACCTACAGAATCCTGATTGCTTGATGGGGCATGGAAACAATTTCAACTTTTAACCCAAGGTGTGGACTTCACGGATGAGGAAAGTGTTGCGCCAACCTGCATTGGTCTAATCTGGGAGGGCGATAAGTAATCAGCAGCGACGCACCAAAGAATAATCTGTTCAAACCTGAACTGCAACGGACGCGTTTGGATAGCAGATGATCCTGTGCGTAATTGTTTTTTAGCGGACTACTTTTCGGATGAAGAGCTGTTTGTAGTGATTGAAGGGACATTATTCCTCTCTATTTTCATGGCTTTTGGCGTGCAGTTGTACGAACAGTATGTGGAGCGAGGGGACAGTGCATGATTAGTTCGTTACAGAACGCACTTTCCTCGCCTTTTTTTCAAATTCCAAGATATTGGACACAACATAAGGACACTTGCTGCAACTACAACGGAGTCCTGTACAGAAATAGACTTTACATTGAACACTTCAGATTATTTCTCTCGCTGCTGTCATCGTAGTATGTCTGCACTTCGAAAGAAATTTGGGGACGATTATCAGGTAGTGACCACCTCATCCAGCGGGTCTGGATTCAACCAGCCGGCACCAGAGAAGAAGAAGAAGAGGCAACGCTTTGTGGACAAGAACGGGCGATGTAACGTCCAGCATGGAAACTTGGGTGGTGAAACCAGTAGATACCTTTCCGATTTATTCACCACACTGGTCGATTTGAAATGGCGCTGGAATTTATTCATCTTCATCCTAACATACACGGTGGCATGGCTCTTCATGGCCTTCATGTGGTGGATCATAGCTTACATAAGAGGAGACCTCCATCGAGCCCACGATGACAAGTATACGCCATGCGTTGCCAATGTCTACAACTTTCCCTCAGCGTTTTTATTCTTCATAGAAACGGAAGCCACAATAGGATATGGCTATAGGTATATCACGGACAAATGTCCTGAGGGGATCATTCTCTTTCTTTTCCAGTCAATCCTGGGATCAATCGTTGATGCTTTTTTGATTGGCTGCATGTTCATTAAGATGTCCCAGCCCAAAAAAAGGGCAGAGACTTTGATGTTCAGTGAACATGCAGCTATTTCGATGCGAGATGGAAAACTAACTCTCATGTTCAGAGTCGGCAACCTGCGTAATAGCCATATGGTCTCCGCACAGATCCGCTGCAAATTGCTGAAAGTAAGTGGCACTTCTATGCCTCCATATAGCTCAACAATATTTGTGTATTAAAACTTTACTATTTACTTATTTCAGACGATGTAAGTTATTCGTTGTCTTATTGTTTAATTACGTACAATTAAATATTAAACACGGTTGGAAAAGATAATGAAATACATCGTTATTAGAATTAGGGTATTATTATAAAGTGTATTATTCCCTGCTGATATAATAATACCAGTAGGCGTTTGCTCTTATGTTTTTAGAGCCATTTGTAATAAAATATAGAATAATGGATTTCTAGAGCATAAGATACATGTATGAACAAAAACATTTGCAAATAGGCTTACCAATGTGAATTAAAAACATACAGCTATTAATTCCAGGCAAATTTAGTGGCAATGCTATAATAATGTTTCAATTTTTATGAATCTAAACAGTTTGATTAATAAACCCACAGGCCCATTTGAAGAGAGTTATAGTGGTGGTCACTGGGTTATCACCATCTTAAGACGTGCCTTTCATGTGACTTGATGTGCCTGATTAGCTATAGCCGTCCACATTCGATTTACTAACTCTGTCTATTTACTGATGATTGATCGCTTTGATTGCTCACAAAATGTGGATAGCTGTCAGTATGGCTCACTGGGTTGCAGTAGTTAAACTGTGTCTCTCTTTCTCTCTCTGTCTCTCTTTCAAACTCCATCTATGTACGCTTTCATAGTCTCGTCAGACGCCCGAAGGCGAGTTTCTTCCGCTGGATCAGTTGGAATTGGATGTGGGCTTCAGTACCGGGGCGGACCAGCTCTTCCTCGTCTCACCACTCACGATCTGCCATGTGATTGACACCAAAAGCCCATTCTACGAACTCTCCCAGAGATCCATGCAAACAGATCAGTTTGAAATTGTGGTCATATTGGAAGGAATAGTGGAAACCACTGGTAAGTTATCACAAATACCTTATTTTTCTTTCTTGTAGTATTAGTAAAGACCATAGGTCTAGGCCTATTGCATGTCTATGCCCTGGTATAAAGCAGTGGGCTATGTTTGGCTCAGGCTAGAGTATATGATAGCAAAAATATATTTCTGTTAGTATTAGTGTAATACTATGAGGATGAGTATAAAGTGAATCAGTATAATGTGAAGTTGCAGGGTTTTACTCTGTGGCCCATGTTAACCCAGATGGGCCTCTCCAATGACCGCTGGATGTTAGTGGATGTCATTGATTACATGTTATTGATTTTATGTGGCACAACTGGATAGGTTTATAAATCATATGTTCTGATTTGATTTTTACGTATGCAGTGGAAATGGCAAAAAACGAATTGCAATTTGATGTGCTCAATCTCTTTTGAATTTGGTTGCCCTGTGTCTAGTACAGAAAGTCAACATTGAAAGTGGTCCTTGGTAAGCAATACAACTAAACAAGAATGCTGGTAAATTGAATTATTTTAGAAATAATTGACTCTGTTTTTATGAGATCTCCTAAAACATATTCCAAAGAGTTGCTGTCCAGGGAACAGTATTGCTGTTTTACAATACAAACCTCACACTCTTCTGGGGGTACATTGTAAAGAAAAAATATGGTGATTACAATTGTAAGGCAACCAGCTGCAATAAGATTGTGAGTTTGCTCAACATTTGGGCATATAGCTGAACCAACAAACATTCTCAAATTGAATTATAAGTTCACTCAATTTGGAATTTTAGGTTGAGTGAACATACGATTCAATTTGAGAATTTATTCGACCTTGTTTGCTTATTTCCCAGACTGCCTTGCCTTTCGAGTGAATGGTAGTTACCACCCATGATTGTATTTGTTAGCGACAGAGACATGGTTGTTGTATTCAATGGTTTTCAGTACTGTAGCCTTCATCAAGTGAGTGTTTAAGTGAATATGTTATATTTAATATTAAACTCTTTATGACAATACATTACATATATCATAATATTAATCAACCAATCAAAGTACATGCACAAACACAGGTGTTGAAACAAACAATTCAGAAAATCTACCTGCAAGATAGCATGCTGGGAAATATGATAATGATGGGGAAGGTTTTGAGTTGTTTTGAGAAAACATGAATTTGTAATTTAATCAACAACCGTTTTCAAATTCAGCTGACTTCGAGCAGAGTTTGAAAGAGTAAACAGACTTTAGCACATTCGCTCAAATTCTAGTCCTTTTGAAGTCCACTCAACTCGCATAATAGCGCTGGTTAAGCAATTGGTTAAGATGGCTTTTTTACAGTGTTGCCTTCCAAAGGCAAACATGAATTTGTAATTTCACTCAACAACCGTTTTCAAATTCAGCTCACTTCGTTTAGAGTTTGTTGAGTAAACAAACTTTAACACATGAGCTCAAATTCTTGTCCTTTTGAAGTCCACTCAACTCACAGATTAACTCTGATTAAGCAATTGGTTAAATTTGCTTTTTTACAGTGTATACTTTGCTTTCCCCAGTGCTTTTTGAAATTGGAAACATTAATTCAACGAGAACAGGAATGCCACATGTGATCATGGTGTGCAGGCATTTTCAAACTGTTCCATTTGAGACGGTTAATAAAAGGGCTTCAGAGAGGGCCTTTAAGATTGTGGAGTGACATAACTTTGTAGCAATCCTGTCTGACGCAGAACAGACCACTGCAGATTTATGTTGATCATGAAAAAGTTTGTACTGTACTGTACGTATGTGGCAGTAGCATACTTTACAAGTCATGCCATTAGATATCCACAAAAAAAGTCAAATTGTATATCAAATCTGAAATATTTTCAGTCCTCAGATTTTATTCAGAATCCCAGCTGTTTTCAATATAGAGTTTTTAAGTGTTGATGAAAAATCTGTAGCAACTGACACAGAACTCATATAGTATAAGAACATTTAATTGGACTATTTTATTTATGAGGGCTTACATAGGGATGCTATATAGAAAAAAAGCTGCAGAGAAATGACTGTATGATAAGTCTGACATACTGGAGCTGCCTTTTAAGATTTATCCTAAGAATTAGAAATGTCTACATCTTTTTCTAATGTTTGGATCAGTCAGTCATTATCACAGAATATTCTAGAATGCAGATAAGATTTCTAAAACTTGCACTTTGGAGGTAAAGGTTAACATGCATCATATGCGCTGGGCACAACAGCAAAATTCGACAGCACGTTTTACTATAATTGGATTTTAACATATTTGTTATATTTTCTCAATGTCAATGTAAAATCTAGATAGCGGTGTAATCTTGACTGGGTAAATGCGAACGTACTGTATGTGTGGTATAAGGTTAAAGGACAAGAAAGAGATGACGATGTGAAAACAATATGTGGTTAAAAATGTATGTACAGTGAAAGTCTAATCCTCAGACACTTTCATTTCGGTCCAATGTAACTCTGTTTCCATGGCAACCTCTCCTTGAGCATTCCGGATTGCAGCCCTGCACCTAAACTTTGATTTTATTCCTATTCCTATGGTATGGGAGAAACAATTTTCTATCGCGTTCATAGACAAATCAGCTCTCTCACTCCGAGTGTTTCTTAATTATTAAGCTCATATTCACATAATGAGCTTATCAAATCGTCGTCACACTCGCTCATGATATCATCAACTCAAAGTCAGCCGCACATGGCTTCCCATCTGTTACATTATCAGAGTTTTGAACATAATCACTGTGTGCATGAGACTATTATACAGTGCGTTACAGCCTTATTCTAAAATGGATGAAATTGTTTTTTTCTCTCATCAATCTACACACAATACCCCATCATTTTTAGAAAATTTTGCACATTTATATATTAAAAACCCCCCGAAAATATGACATTGACATAAGTATTCAGACCTTTTACTCAGTACTTTGTTGAAGCACCTTTGGCAGTGATTACAGCCTCGAGTCTTCTTAGATATGACGCTACAAGCTTGGCACACCTGTATTTGGGGAGTTTCTCCCATTCTTCTCTGCAGATCCTCTCAAGCTCTGTTAGGTTGGATGGGGCGCGTTGGAATGGGCGCGTCGCTGCACAGCTATTTTCAGGTCTCTCCAGAGATGTTAGATCGGGTTTAAGTCCAGGCTCTGGCTGGGCCACTCAAGGACATTCAGAGACTTGTCCCGAAGCCACTCCTGTGTTGTCTTGGCTGTGTGGTTAGGGTCGTTCTCCTATTGGAAGGTGAACTTTCGCCCCAGTCTGAGGTCCTGAGCATTCTGGAGCAGGTTTACATCAAGGATCTCTCTACTTTACTCCATTCATCTTTCCCAGTCCCTGCTGCTGAAAAACAACCCCATAACATGATGCTGCCACCACCATGCCTCACCGTAGGGATGGTATTGAATTGGTTTGATTTGATTTGGGATTGGCCAGGTGATGAGCGGTGCCTTGTTTCCTCCAGATGTGATGCTTGGTATTCAGGCCAAAGAGTTCAATCTTGGTTTCATCAGACCAAACAATCTTGTTTCTCATGGTCTGAGAGTCCTTTAGGTGCCTTTTGGCAAACTCCAAGCGGGCTGTCATGTACCTTTTACTGAGGAGTGGCTTCCGTCTGGCCACTCTACTATAAAGGCCTGATTGGTGGAGCGCTGCAGAGATGGTTGTCCTTCTGGAAGGTTCTCCCATCTCCACAGAGAAACTCTGGAGCTCTGTCAGAGTTACCATCGGGTTCTTGGTTACCTCCCTGACCAAGGCCCTTCTCCCCCGATTGCTCAGTTTGGCCGGGCGGCCAGCTCTAGGAAGAGTCTTGGTGGTTCCAAACTTCTCCCATTTAAGAATGATGGAGGCCACTGTGTTCTTGGGGACCTTGAATGCAGCAGACATTTTTTGGTACCCTTTCCCAGATCTGTGCCTCGTCACAATCCTGTCTCGGAGCTCTACGGACAATTCCTTCGACCTCATAGCTTGTTTTTTGCTCTGACATGCACTGTCAACTGTGGGGCCTTATATAGACAGGTGTGTGCCTTTCCAAATCATGTCCAATCAATTGAATTTACCACAGGTGGACTCCAATGAAGCTGTAGAAACGTCAAGAATTATCAATAGAAACAGGATGCACCTGAACTCAATTTTCGAGTCTCATAGCAAAGGTTCTGAATACTTATGTAAATAAGGTATTTCTGTTTTTAAATGTAACTTTCACTTTGTCATTATGGGTGTTATGTGTAGATTGATGAGGATGTTTATTGATTTAATCCATTTTAGAATTAGGGGTCTGAATACTTTCCAAATGCGCTGTATGAGAGTATTATAACAACATATACAACAACAACAACAAGGAGCAAGGCACTTTTCATTGCATTAAAATACCTTTATTATAATGTCATGTTCAATAGAACAAAAAACAAACTCAGACACTTTTCGGCATATCCTTTGTGACGATGAGTACAATGGTCCAAGAATTATAAAATGTTCGTGTAAATATTTGAAATTAATATAACAGATATCATTATTGACTCCAAATGGTTTAGGTTTAGTTAACTGTTGGTTCTACTCAAGAAAAGTAGAATTGAAAGGATTGAGAAACAGTCTGCACTAGGGTTGCAAAATTCCTGTTACTTTCCCAAAATTCCTGGTTTCAGAAATTCCAGGATTTCCTGCTAATTCCATCATAATTCCAGGAATCTTCCAAGCAGGATTTCTGGAGAATCAGGGAATTTTAGGAAAGTTACCAGAATTTTGCAACCCTAGTCTATACACAGCTATTGAGAGTCATCATCATCATCATCATCAACGTCATGCCAGGGAACGCTATACCGAATCACTGAGGTGCAATGAAATTCACTTTGTATATGCAGAAGTGAAATTGCTCAGACTGCAATTTCTTTACCACTCTTCTGTTCGATTGGTACATTAATTATACACTGGAAATCGAACATGCTATTTTGTACTTTACGCCAAGTCTGTCTTCATTTGAGATCAGAAACAATGCCATACCTCTTTGATCAGCTCAGTTAAATGATAAAGAGGCTGGGATTTTAATTTCATGGCAAGCTGACTTTGAATGTGTGATAGACTAGAGGAAGAATTCTGTCAGCAACACAGAGTTTCTCCC